AGTTAAAACCAATTCTTCCTGAAGCTCAGATGATAAACTAGCACAATAGTTTTAATTTATCTTAGGGTATATGAGAAGTTACTTATTCCTCATTATTTAATGAGCTGGGGCAAAAAATAAAGAATGCCGAAATCCCATGCATTCTGACATGAAATTATGGTATACTTTTCAGCATCTTCAAGATGTACAAGCTTTAAGAACTGGGTGAACAATACCCTTCTAATGCGCAGCACTGTCCTTATCAGAAGTTCTATCTCCCTCGCAAAAGGGGACTATTGTATGAATTGGAACCATCAAAGAAAGTGGGGACAAACTCCTTGAGGTTTATTTGCCAATCTTTCTCATTCCGAGAAGCAACAATGATCCTAACTAGGATAAACAAAGATCCCCACGAAGCTGGACTTAATGAGGGTCTGACCCCCCTGGGTCCTTCAATGGTGGCAGTCTCTCATCCTTCCAATCACTCCCCCGGCTAGCCACTCCAAGCAGGGGGAGGGAGGACGAGTCTCCCTACACTCTCCTTATTGAGTGACTAGCTGAGTGGGAAGAGAGCGGCGCTCTAGGAGTGACTGGAAGGATGAGCGAAGCCACCACCGATGGCAGATTCGTGAGTGGACCGTCTGGCCTCAGGGGCCAGACCCCTGTTAAATCCAGCTGCATGGGGATATTCATATTCGTATACGAACACAAATACCCCCATCTCTAATCCTAACCCACATGCCAATGAAAAACCTGGAACTTCATTTAGAAATGAAGTAAGGAGCTTGCTTGCCTATCACTGACACACACGCACACTCTTCAAGAAAACACAGAACCACTAGAACTTGACAGACTAGCTTGGAAATGATGACCATCTTTCAATCCACTGCAGTGGTAAAGAAATGGGAAGAAAGGAAGTCTACACGAATCTGTGAGAATATATGTGCAAGATTTAATGATTCTCTTAAGCATGCTGATTATGACAAACTGAGGAATACCAGAAGTCACTCTTCCAGCATTTGTGAATGGTGCTGTATGAAATGTAATTCTAGTGAGTAATTCTGGCCGTCAGTAATTCTGAAGAAGCGGAATGCAAATGGCTCTAGCCTTCAAGAGATGCTGGAGTGACATATAATTCACTCTTTTACTATGATTACAAGCTTTCTACTCCCAAGTTTCTTCAGTGATAGCATATAACCACTTAGGGTCTCCTCTCTTTGGAAGTATCTTCTCGTGAAATGAAAACAGAGAAGTAGAAGTTATCTGGAAGTTGAGTCATGGCAACTGGACTTCTTCCCTATTAATTTGAAAGAAAGTTGGAGAAGTCCAGTTGCCATGACTCAACTTCCAAGCTAACCTCACCTGGATGGCTGAGAATCTTCATAGAGGTGATGTGCTAGTCTGAAATTCTGGGTGATATGCTGGGAGGCATATTCGTGCTCTGCATTTCATGGCACTACTTCCAAAGAAATAAAGTGACAAGGAATAAGGGGGAAATCTGCTTTTCCTCTCTTATACAAATATTCTAGCCTCCACAAATAACAAAAATATGCATTGAAACAGCCAATTGGGAGGACTCCCAGCCATAGCAAAATCAGTATAGGGAGTACTACCTGAGTTTAAGGGACAACCCCCCCCCCCCATTTTGTTGTTAATTCATTAGAACACAGAGATGTGTTATCCACTGGTAGAGTGCTGGGTAATATCCACTGGGCTACCTACGGTGTCTGTTGGTTGCTGGGATTCTCATAGAGACAGAGAGACCTTGATTCTGCAAGGTATCTCATATGCTCTTAATCCAGGACACACAATCAAGATTTCTTAGTATGGACTAGCTGTGCCGGAACTGTCAACTGATCCAAAATAAGCACTATCACTTAATTTAAAAAGAGCATCAGTGAACCATATGCATACAAACAACTTAACTGTTCAAGACTTAAATCAACTGATCCCTGTTTTAGACAAGCTCCACCACATCCTTTAATCTCTCCTCTCTCTTCCTTTTCAACAATAAATTAACTTGCCCCATAGCAGTCAATTAAGCTAAACATACACTTGAAAAAGGTAAACCATTTAGTGAGGAGAAATACCTAAAACAGCTTGTAACAAAACTTGAGAATGACACTGCAGAATTGAACTTTTAAAGAAAGCCAGGGCTTTTACAGTATTTTATTTTAGCATAATGCTTTACCTTGTATCATGGTAGATGATGAATATGGAGGGGTAAAGTTTCTTTCTCAGCACCCTGCTCCCTTTCCTGCAAGAACTCAGCACAGAGCTACAAATTGGTATGATCTTCTGACACTTTCAGTGTGCCTTTAGTGAAAAAAGATCTATGGACCACAGTTTTAACAACAGCCATCAGGAAAAGAAAGGGGCAACTAATAGGCAGACATGCATGCAGTGCAGTGTGAACTCTATGTTGTGCAATCTAACTGCAGGACAGAACCTAACTTTAAGATTTTACCAAATGTAGAAATGGGTAAAGGTAAAGGTAAAGGTTCCCCTTGACAATTTGTCCAGTTGTGTCCGACTCTAGGGGGCGGTGCTCACCTCCGTTTCCAACCCATAGAGCTAGCATTTGTCTGAAGACAATCTTCCGTGGTCACGTGGTCCAGCGCGACTAGACACGGAATGTCGTTACCTTCCCACCGTGGTGGTACC